AGACGAGGCGGGCGATGTACTCCTTAGGCATGCGCGGCAGCTGGTGGGAGAAGACATTCTGCAGCCCCACAAGCCAGAGCAACACCCGCCGGTTGGCCTTGGGCGTCAGCGAGTTGCCGATGACGTGGAACTCAATGATGCCTCGGCGCTCCTCCAGACGAGCTGTCTCGTCCCGGGCTGCGTTGGCTGACAGCAGGCTCGTCTAGGCACCAGAGGAGAGGTGGGAAGCTGAGGCCTCAGAGGCTGGTGAGGCCCCCTTCCCCACACAGGTCAGTTATCCAGGCTGCCCACCTCGGGCCCCAACATGGCGGCAGGGTCAGTGATGGTGAGCATGACCTCATTGACCAGCTCCATAGGGATGTCGCCCATTACACGGAGCCGCTTGGCATCCTCCAGGGTCAGGTTCTCCGGAAGCTTCCTCTTCTCACCTGCTGGGAAGGTTGGCAGGGTCTCTGGTGGACAGCAAGAGAAGTCAGGGGAGGGGTAAATGAGGGTCAGGGGTCAGTACCCACCTGGCATGGGCTCAGCCCCTCCGGAGTCCAGACTCAAGGAGCTGTTGCTGCCTCCACCCATGGTAGGGCTGAAGATGGGGGTGCTGGGGACAACTGCTGCACTGACCGTAGCTGAGAGTGAACGAAATTAGGAGTGGGGGGGTCAGAGATGGTGGTGGGTCCCAAAAAGGGACTCCCTGACACACCCTTCTGCATATCCCCACTGCAGCCATCTGCAGTGCCTCTTCCCCAGCAGAGGGCTGAGCTCTGCCAAGAAAAGCCAAGCCAGGAGCCTGCAGAGCCTGCTGGAGCACATACCCGGCCTGGGCACCAGCTGCGTCCCCTCTGAGGGTGGCATGGTGAAGCCGGACTCCCAGATTGGAGAGTTTGCCCCATATATCTCCTCCTCCAGCATGGACAGGAATCTGTGGGGAGGGTACAGTGTGTCTCGCAACTCTGTCCTCCAACCAAGGCAGCAGCCTGGAGCAGACCCAGACTGGAGGCAGGTCAAAGAGACCCTGTTCTCAGGAAACTGGGAGCCAGAGAGCGGAGACAGCTTCAGACTAGGGGGAGACACAGTCCCCTGGTCAAAGGCAGAACAGGACATCCAGGACAGGATCAGAGGTCCAGTTTGCCATGGTGTGCAGCACATGGGGATAGAGTCTGACTGGTGCCATCCTGTGCTATGCGGCTGAGCAGGGCACTAAGTCACCCTGGACCTCAGTGTGAAATGGGGCTCAGAATCCACCCCCTCCTGCCACCTCACATTCCCACCTCGTAGCAGAAGGGGCCCCGAAAGGCCTGCATTAGTCAGGAAAGGTGTCTCAAACTGGGGAGTGGTGAGCCATGTTTAAAGTGGGAGAGAGGGGCAGCACAACAGAGCAAAATCTTACGGAAAGGACTACAATAGGAGTGGAAATCGGTTTCACCTCAAGCACAAGCTCTGGCTTCTTGGCACGTTGCGGTGGGAAGGATTCTGAGGCTGTGTCCAGGCCCCATGGGAAACAATTAGTCACATCTACCAGGGGCATGGGCAGGGGTAATGTTAGCACTCAGGCCATGTACCTGCCATCCCCAGACTAGCACACGCAAAGGCAAATGCCAGCAAGTTGCATCTGGGCCCCAGACAAGTCTGCCAGGTAGACACCCAGATCCCAGAAGGCTCATGGAGGGGGAGGAGGGACCATTCCAAGAAGCCTTCCTGGAAAAAAGGGGACAACAGGGAGGATGTGAATCTGGAGCAAACTCCTGACAGGCCGGAGTGAGCCTTACTTTGGGAAGTGGGTGAGGATAAGGGTCCTCTTCTCAGGCACCAGCTTGTCCTTCTCCACCCGGAACTTCTCTAGCAGCTGCCGCCGGGTCACAGTGAAGATGGAGCGGAGAAGGCTTCGTCCAAAGATGTGAGTGGTCTCATAGCGGGGGAGGCTGTCACAGCTCTGGGGTACGTGGCAGTAGCAGAGCCATCTGCGGGCAGAGGGGAGGTAGGATGGAGAATGGAGACACTAAACCCAGGTTGGGCTTATGAGCACGAGCACCCCCACCCCCACCCCCACCCCCACTCCCCGCTGGCCTTGGCCAGCCCTACCTGGTATAATTGACCTTGTAAGTAGCCACATCCTCAGCCTGAGACCGCTGCCGAAATTGGGCAGGAGTCTCAAGCTTCCAGTAGTTAAGGCAGAGCAGGAACATCTTTGAGAGTTCAAACATCGTCTGCCGCTCCCGGGGAGCCAGGTGACTAAACTTATACTGCACAAAGTTCAGCACACCCTGAAAAGGGGTGGGTAGGGAACAAGACCAGGAAGGAGATGTGAGCGGCCAGCAGGGGTTTCTTATCCAAAATCTGGTGCTTCCTGAGGGCAGGCTAAAGCTCCCCTCTCACTCGGGCTCTCTGTGAAGAAAAATTGTGCCCCCTTCCCAGCTCCATGCCCATCTTGAACATCCTCCCTTCTCTGAACCTGTCCCTTGTTCTCAGCTTGAGGAAGATGGGGAACACAGGCTCCTCACTCCTCCAAGATGCCCCCAATTCTCTTACTACCTTCCTCATCCCACCTGCTCAATATTAGGCTTCTCAAATGGGGGACTGCCCAGGGAGCCCTCCACCACTGGCCGGGTCATCTGCAGGATGCATTTCCGCAGGAGCTGGAGGAAGAGGAAGAGGGAGGAGTAGAGGTCAGTGGAGCTCAGAGCTGCAAACTCCCCAGTCCAGCCCCACCTCCTTTGCTCATTCACACTCACTTGGATGAAGCTCACCTTGAAGAGGTAGAAATAGACCTGCTTAGTGTCCGTGTCCTCCTCTTTGTGAACAGACATGAACAGGTTCTCCACGTCCACCACCATACCCAGCAGCCGGTTAATCTCATCTTCTGACACATTCTCCAGGTGGGACACGTGGTCAGCTGCAAGAAGGAAAGTTGGTAGGACTGGAAAGAAAGGATAGATGACCAGAGCTCTCTCTCACTCTTCATCACCAGTCAATTTACAACCTCGGTAGCTCCAAACAGCATGACCAGTAGTGAGACTGACTGCTACTATGTCAGCCTTGGGTGGACCCTGTCTATTCTGGGCTGGCAAATTTCCTTTCTCTTCCCTTGGGAGGGATACATGTTCCCAAGCCAATCCCTCCTTCGGAGGCATTTTTGGTTCCAAAGATAAAACTCAGTGGCACTTAAATTATCCTGTCCAAGCAGGCCCCAGGACCTGCCCCCGCCCCAGCTCCAAGGGCACTACCTGCCTTACCCAAGGGGTGCTCACAGCTGCGGCACAGCTCGCTCAGGTTGGCAGCTGGCTGCTGCAGGTCCATGCGGGGTGCAGTGGGGGGCTTGGGGTTTTTCCAGCCATTACACTTGCAGGTTTCATTGGCCTGGCGTTAGAAAACTCGGTCAACAGCCCTGTAACCGGGCACGGGGAGCCGATCCCCAGCCACAGATTTGCCCCCATTCCCACCAGAGCCCTGGGATGCCCCAAGCCCCGCCCCTTCTCACCCCAGGCCCCGCCCCCACCTTGCAAGCCGAGAAGACCCCTAGCTTCTCAAGCTTCTTGGCGCGCGGCAGCCCCCGGACTTGCGCCTTCCTCTGGCTGGCGCGCTGCTGCTGGCTCAGGCCAGGTCGAGCCGGATCCCCTCCGCTCCCGGTCCCCCCACTTCCTACCCCGGGACCCCCAGTCCCTGTGCTGCCGGCTGGGGCTGCAACTGGCGCGGGGGCTGGTGCCGGAGTGGGAGCCGGAGTCGGGGCTGAAGCCGGGCTGGGGGCAGGAGTCGGAGGTGGGGCAGGGGCTGGAGACTGAAGGGGACGGGGCTGCGTGGCCGGAGCCGGGGTGGAGGCCTGGGAAGGTTCCGCCATGGCCTCCCCCGCAGCGGAGCGCGGCGCGGCGCTCCCAGCCCTAGGGCCGCATGGGCAACCGGCGCTGGGTGCGCAGGCGTCGCTGCGCCGGAGCATGATGGGAGTTGTAGTCTTCCACGACCGCTCCCTCCGTTTCTGGTTTCCAGACTTTTCTGTCCTGCCTCTTGGCCCCAGACAAGCAAGTGAAGCCTGAGCCATTACCTTAGATTGTCTCCTCCTCACTTCTAATCTCTCTTTGAAGTCTTCTGGGATAGCGAGGATTGCCGTTTTCTTGGGGACTTGGAGGAGCATCTGAGAAAACAGGCTCCTGTTGAGGGGAATCACAGATGCTGCCCACCTCCCAAGCCTGAGCGTATTGGTGCCGTCCTGGGGTCTGGGGTCGTGTTGGCTTCCGCCCCCCCCCCCCCCGGCCCTGTCCCACACGTCTGCGGACACAGAAGTGCAGCCACAGCGGAGATTAAGAAGCAACACTTCCATTTCTTGCCCCGTGGAGGTGGCTACATGGGGGTGCTCTCTGGGGGATAATTCAGTGGTACTCTCTGGTGCGCTTTTTCTATTATGTTATATTTCAGCAATAAAGGATTATCATAAAAGCAGTGAGCGCCAGAAGGCAGGGTTCGCGTCCTCCTTCTGTCCCAGAGCCCAGCCCTGAGCCGGCCACAGTAGACCCAGAGTCTGACGAATGAAGGAAACCAGGAAGTCGCGGTCACCTCCTAAGCCCCATGTGTCACAAGACTGTGCGCGGTCAGGATGGAAGACCCTCACGGTCACACCCCCGGGCTCGGTTCAGGGGACAGCCCTTCTTGTCCTCAGGCCTGATTCTGGGAAGGGCAAGAGCCCGGCTCCATCTCGCCTCTGCCCTGTGCTGGTGAGCGCTACAGGGTCGGGTGGTCTGCGCTGGTGGGTCACCGCCCCGAGCTGGGGAAGGGCCTTAGGGCCCGGAGCCAGGATGAGAGCAGCAGTGGCGCGCCAGGGCGGTGACCACCAGGCCTGCGGAGACCGGACTGCCGTAGCAGGCAGCCGCGGAGGAGCCGGGCTGCACGGAGCCGGGCCGCCCGAGGGCCTCTCCCCACGGCGCGCAGCCGCCGCCCCCCCCCCCCGCCCCCCCCCGAGCGCCCAGAGCCACGCACGCCCAGGGCCTCGCGCCCTTGGACAGCAGTTGCTCACTCGGATGCAGCGGGTTGGTAGCGGTCTCCCCAGCGGGAGCCAGGTGGCATCCCGCTGTCCCAGCGTGGCCCTTGCCCAACAGAACCAGGTGGCCACACTGCCCGTACGGCTCCTGAGGGACGATGTGGTGACTGCGCAGAACAACGTCCATGCAGAGAATGGCTTCCAGATGAAGGTGGATGCCTGTGGCTTTGCCCCGGAGGAGCTGGTGGTGCAAGTGGACGGCCAATGTCTGATGGTGACCGGCCAGAGGCAACTGGAGGGCTGCAGCCCGGATGGGGCTGGCTACCGTGTGGCGCAGAGGGTGCACCGGCAGATGCAACTACCCCCGGACCTGGATCCCGCCGCCATGACCTGCAGCATGACCCCTTCCGGCCAGCTGTGCGTCCGAGGCCAGTGCCAGGCGCTGCCTTCCCCGGAAGCCCAAAAAGGTCCATCCCCGAGACTCCGAGGCCGTGGCTCTAAGAAGGGTCAACCTACCCTGACCCAGTAAACAACAATCCTAGTGCGCAGCAGCAGCCTTAGTGTTCTGTGGTCTTTTCTTGGGATTGGGATCAAAGGTGGAGGCATAATGGAGGTAGAGAGAGGGCCAGTGGAGGGCTTAGGGAGGCAGGAAAAGCACTTTATGGTGGTGGTCCACCAAGAATCAGGCCTCTGTGGCCCCGGGAGGAGCTGGGTCCGGGGCTCAGTAGACCAACAGCCCAGTGCTGGGCAAATGACAGCAGCAGCTCCAGCAGGGAGCAGCAGAGGGCCAGGATGGCAGCGGGGGCACCAGGCTCCACAACCAGCAGAGGGCCCCGACAGACCAGAAATCAGATAGATACGAAGACTGGACTTGATGTGGGGTGGTCTCTTAGTCTCAAGACCAGGCAAAGGTTCCAGAGATCACCTGGGAAGAGGATGAGAAGACCCAGTCCTTCACAAGGTACAGACTAACCAAAAAACCCCAAGAGGTGGTTTCTGTTGTTTCAGAGACCAACTATTTTCAAATACAAACTGCACATCACCCCAATATAATCTGGAGGGGGTGGGGGCAAGGCTAATACAGGCCCTCAATTTCAAACTTGGGGAGATTCAGCTCTAGGTCACTCTCACCACCACCACCCCCTTACAGCTGGTACCAGTAAGGGCCTCTTTCTCTTGGTTACCATAACCACTAGCACCCCTCACTTTGGGGGAGGGGGGGGAAGCCATTGTTCAACAAGATTCAGTGGTTCATTTTAAATTAACTTCAAGTAAGCTAGAGCGGATATGGTCTGATAAACTCTGCCAGAGAAAGACAAGGAAGACAAGCGGGAGGTCGATCGATCGGCTGACTATATTGACAAGATACTGATTGGTTACATGTTGAAGAAAACATACAATACAAAATACAGAAAAAGTTGGTTCCATCCCCTCCCACTCCCCACCCCTTACCCACCCACCCACCCCCAAATACTCATCATCGTGATTTGGTCAGAACAGGGCTCAGAGCCAGAGGTCAGGGTGACCAGGGGTGGGGGAGGGGGCAGGTTGTGGGCAATGGGTTGGTGGCTGTCACAATAATGCTGTGGTGATGCTGTGGTTTCTGTCCCAGCTGTGAGTTAGAGGGTGAGTGGGGGCTGCAGCGTGATGACAGCCAGCTGAGGGAAGAGTTGCCTCTCCCTTCCCTCACCCCTAGGGCCTGCCCCACCACCCAGGACCAAGCCCACTCCGAACACAGTAAGGATATGGATGCTCTTGCTGAGTCTGCTCATCAGCAAGAGGGAAAGAAGGGTAACTGTTCCAACCCCTGCCTCCCCACATACAGAGTGGGGGGGGGGGGAACAGGGCACGTGGCTACTACCAGCAAAGGAAGAGTGGGAGAGCAGTAGAAAGGGCTGGAAGTGGGAAGAGCAGAAGATCATATATATTAAAAAAGTGACTTAAGACTTAAAATTGAATTAGTATTTGTACAGAAAGGTGCGGGTGGAATAATTCACTCCGGCCTATGATCAGAATTCTAGGAGAAATCATGGCAGACCCCTCCCCTGCCCCCCCCACCCCCAAGTGGTAGCCCGAGTCGTTAAGTGCGATTGGTTAGAGTGGATTCCAGTCGGGTGGGCCGGCGGAGGAGGTGGGGGTAGTGGGCAGGCAAGGGGGGCTCAGTTGCTGCAGCACTGGCTCCGGCTGGCTGGGCTGTTCTCCTGGAGGTCCACCCCTCGGTTCCGGCTCGGGGCACCAGCTGCATTCTGGGGCTCATTCTTGGGAAGTTTCTTAGCTGTTTGGAAGAGGAGGGGGAAAATGCATTTGTAGGGGTACCCCAATACTCTTCCAAGTCTACCTGAGTGGAAGCTGGCCTTTTTACCACCCAATGTGCAAAGACCCACCGAGGACTTCACTTTTATGTGCCAGGTGCATACTGAGTGTTTCAGGAAACTGAGGGAAAGAGAGGTTAAATAACCTGTCCAGGACCAGAATTAAGTGGTAAAACAAGGATTTGAACCTGGGCATGATGACTCACTACAGAGCCAGATGAGCCTAAGAATCTTAAGAAGTAGGTTACGGGGAGGGTCATGTAGGGTTTTAGGTGGGTGATAAGCTAAAGGGTAAGAAAGGGAAATGTTGAGACTTTGGCCCAGGCTTTGGAAACTTCTGGGGTGAATTATCTCCATCTGAGAGTCAGATGAAGGGACCCTACAGACCTACTACATACTCTAGACAGCAGACAAGTGATAGGACCTGGTCAGGGAGGGGATGCAAGCAACTCACCTATTGCCATGAAAATTTCATTCACGTTCATTGCAGTCTTTGCGGATGTCTCCATGAACAGCAAACTGTTGTCGTCTGCATAGGCTTGTGCTTCCTGATTTGGATGGAGGTGAGAAAGTGAGTAGGAGGGAAATGATGACAGTTGGCAGGGGCCAGGGCCCAGGATTAAAATCTTCCCTCATCACAGTTCCTTTATACACAACAGAGACAATGCAGGGGTTTTCAGGCCCAGGGCTCTTCTGCTCTGGCTGCCCCCCACCCAGACACCTGCACCATAACCCCAAGGCCTCCACTTCACAGACAGCACCTTTCAACTCACTGGCACATGTTTCACTCAGGCTTCCCCAGGTCCATTCTGCCTTTCTTGCTCTTCAAAATCACTAAGCTAGGAAATACTTCTAGAGAGTTATCCTACAAATACACTTGCACATTGGGAAAGAACACAAAAAGTATGTAGATGACTGCAGTGCTACTGCAAACAACCTTGAAGTCCAATCAGTTAGGGCCTGGTAAGAAATGCACACTCTGGTCTATGGGAAAGGGATTTGTACACATATGCATATTTCTAGAAAAATAACAAGAAACTAATGAACTTGGGGAAAGGAAGATTGTGTTTCTGGGTTAGAGATTCACATCTCATCCTATATACCTTCTTGTACTACGTACATTTTACTCGTGCATATACTGAGTGGATAAAAGTAATTCTTTCTCAGTAGGTTTCATTAAAAAAAGTCAGTTAACACAAAAAAATATGAGGTTTCAGCAAGCATTTATACACATGCCATCAACCAATGAAAAAGAGCAAGGAGAGGGAGGCAACTGCTTCAAGGGCTATGCTCAAGTCACAAGAGGATAGCAGATAACAGCTCTCTTGCTGCCTCCAGGCTTGGCCCTTTGCAAAGCCCCTGAGCAGCCTAGGCTGAGCTGCAAGTGGAGCTGGCTTACTCCTCCCTGCCAAGCCCTGCGCATACCCCTCTGCAACACCCCACCCCGCACCCCTCTTCACCCCCCCCCGCCCCCGCACCTGGAATTCCACGGCTCTCTTGCTGGCCAGGTCTGCCTTGTTCCCCGCGAGTGCAATGACGATGTTGGGGCTGGCCTGCCTCTGTAGCTCCTTCACCCAGTTCTTGGCCCGTGCAAATGTATCCTGGGGGGACAAGGCCAGAATGTCAAACAGACAGAGGAGGCATCCTGCCCAGTGCTGCTCACTAGAAAAGCCCAAACCAGCAGAGCCAAGGTGTTTAAGATGTCACCGCCTTGAAGAGTCTGGTGAGACACCCCCAAACAGAGGAAATCTGCCCACACCCATTCCAGGAACAAAGTGTCAAGAAGTAAGGGGAAATCTTTACTGTGTTGGTGATGTCATAGACCACGATGGCAGCCTGGGCCCCCCGATAGTACATGGGGGCCAGGCTGTGATACCGCTCCTGTCCAGCTGTGTCCCAGATCTCAAATTTGACTGTTGTGTCGTCCAAACAGACCGTCTGTGTGAGGAAGGCCGCTGTAAGAGGAAAGGTGATGTTATATGGCAGGAAGGAACTCAAGAAGCTGCCCCCACATATCTCCAGTACTGTATCTGGGCCCTGGCACTTAGAGGCCCTCTGCTGAGATGGGCCCAGAAAAGCCCCCAGCCCAGTAGCCGAAGCAGGCCCAGGCGGGGTCAGTGGAGTTTGTATTTTTCTGTCATGTGTCAACGGGGCGAGGGGGCTCCACAGGCTTTACAGACTCATGCTTGGCAAGGGCAGAAGGGAAATCTGCCTGCACTTGAACCACTTCAGGAGCACCCTCTGAGGAGGAATGCAGCAAGGGGCAGGAGAGACAGAACCCAGGGGAAAACAGACTCTAAGCACAGAAGGGTGGGCCCACCCATTCCTCCTCTTCTTCCTCTTCCTCCTCCTCCTCCCTCCCCTCACAGAGAACAGTCCAGCTGGAAACTTCCACAGTCCCTCAGTTTGCTCCAGCCCAGGGGTGTTACTGGCCTTCGGTTTCCTGAGGACACTGTCACACACTTAGCTACACTGGGGACGCCTGAAAGTACACGCTGTTCCACTGCCAGGCGGAGGCAGGGTGGCTGGCTTCCCAGCTGCCCCTGCCACCTCCAGGCATGCCAGCCAGCTACCACCTCTAGCTCTGACCTTGACCCATTCCTGATTGGCCACCCTGTGGTTCGACCTTCAGGGAACAGTGACCCTATCTTTGGCCCGGAGACAAAGGACCATGTGGTGCTTGTGCATATGGTTTGGGGGAGGAGTCCCCTTTGGGAGGCAGGTGGGAGCCCCCTAGCCCTGGGACCCAACAGAGGATTCCAGAGAGCCCTGTGTGGAAGCCAACTCTCCCCATCTGCCCTCCCCCCACCTCCATGAGGGGCCTGGGGACTGCCTCACTTCCCTCTCTCCAGCTCCTGACTTGAGTGCTGAGGAGGCAGCAGAAGACTGCTGACACGACCCATTTAGCTTCCAGCTGCCTGGAAACCTCTTACCAAGAGGGGAGAGAAAGGATGACTCAAGCTCAAGGTTGGCCCTGGCCCCTCAACGTTTGTCCTGACAACTGAGGCGGGGGACTGAGTTCAGACCCTTACGTGCTAAATGCTGACCACTAGAAAATCAATGACAGGCTCTGACCTCGAGGGTAAAGGTCGACTTCAGAAACGCTGGCCCACTCACCATGCCATTTCCCTATTCTGGAAAGTAGGAGAGGCCAGGGGTAGACACACTGCCTGGCACAGTGAGGACTCTGAGATTCAGACCCAGCCTCTCCCTTCCCAGAGGCCAGGTCAATGGAAAAGTCATAGCCAAAGCCACTTACGAATCCAGTGGCATAATTAGGAAAGGAAGCCAGGTTTTGACAAGGAGCTAAGTATTAACGGATGACTGCTGGGGCTCTGGCAGGGAGACTAGCTATTGGATTCAGTTCCAGGGCCCAAGTGAGGAAGAGGTGCTGCCGCCCCAGGCACGTTTAGCTTCCCTGGAAAGGCGGCTTCCTTCTCCTCAAAACCAAGGCATTTCTTTGGCATTCTTGAGGCCACCCCACTCCCTTGTGCCCACTCACCTCCAATTGTGCTCTCCTGGTACTCATGGAACTGTCCCTTGACGAAGCGAAGGACGAGGCTAGATTTGCCCACTGCAGATTCCCCGAGCAGGACCAGCTTGAATTGACAGATCTTGTTCCCAGCAGCTGGTCCATTGGGTCGCGCTGCACCTCCCCGACCCGCCATGGCCCGTCCTGCTGTAGTGGTACCAGTGAGCGTGGGGCGGGGGCCGGCGCTGTGTGAAGAGGCACTTAGTGAGGAGGGGGGGCCTCCAACTGTAAGAGAGATCACCAGTACTGGTCAGTCCCGACTACTAGATGGCGAAGTCTTCTTAAATCACAGGTTTCTCTCTCTGCCCTCCCTGAGGACCTACCTCCCCTCCTGCCAACTCCTGACCCCCACCCTTGTCCCCCAGAAGTTAAAAGAGCCCTAGCTAGGATGTACTACACACCCATATGCTCTACAGTCATCTGAGCAGTGAAAAGTGGTCTTCCAACTCTAGGTTCTGGTTCTGAGCAAACATACTACCCAATCCCAATTATGTCCATGTGCATACACGTTAAACACACACAGGGGGATCCCTGGGTGGCTCAGTGGTTTCGCGCCTGCCTTTGGCCCAGGGCGCGATCCTGGAGTCCCGGGATAGAGTCCCATGTCGGGCTCCCGGCAGGGAGCCTGCTTCTCCCTCTGCCTGTGTCTATGTCTATCATAAATAAATAAAAATAAATCTTTTTTTTTAATTTTTTTATTTTTATTTTTTAATTTTATGATAGTCACAGAGAGAGAGAGAGAGGCAGAGACACAGGCAGAGGGAGAAGCAGGCTCCATGTGCCTGGAGCCCGACGTGGGATTCGATCCCGGGTCTCCGGGATCGCGCCCTGGGCCAAAGGCAGGCGCCAAACCGCTGCGCCACCCAGGGATCCCTAAAAATAAGTCTTTTAAAAAAAAACCACACACACACACACACACAGGAGAACAACGGGCATCTGGCAGCCTGGTGACAGTTACCAGGTTCCTTAGGATACCAAAAAAAAATCACCTGGGAAGATGCTAGGGTCTAGGTGAACAGTGACCCTGTGGTCCGGTAGCTAAGATCACAAACCCTCCTCTGTGCAAAGCCAGAGCAAGTGGTGAGGCTGACTAGGGCATGGAGAGTCCCGATAGAAAGCTCATCAGACATGGTGCTTGGCCAATCTCATGGGCACTTGGGGACCAGGGCCTGGCCGGCACGAGTTGTTCCCAAAATAGCCATTTTTTTCCAGCCATCTCTAGAAAGACTGACCAACTTTCTCAGTCTGAGGCTGGACTGTACACTGTGATCAAAGCCTCATTTCGATCCTCCATCCTGAACCTCTTCCCCCAGCTCTCTCATTTGTGATGGGCCAGAAGTCTCACGCACATTAAAACACAAAACACACACAAAAGCAAACACACGCCAAAGCCAGAGAGCTCCACTGGCAGGCAGAATGGCTGCCAAATTTCTCTTTTAAAACAGAGACCTCAGTTCCATTCTCTACTGGCAGAGGCGGAGGGTGACGCAGAGAAAGAGCAGGGGAGGTATGGGAGGGCAGAGACAAACAAGGGACATGGAGACCTGCACCCCCAACAGCTGGTGTTCCAGCACCGACAGCTTAGTCACTGTTAGTGATAGCTTTGGAGGTGCAAAGAAGGATGAGGAGCCCTATCTCCAGAAGCCTCTAGAAGACATACATACTAAAAAATACCAAAACGTATACACAATGTTTTACAGACAAGCACTGTGAGTAGGTATTTGGTCCTGAGCATCTGTACAGCGTCTGAACCTAAGTTGGAAAGAAAAAGTTCTGATTCAACTGCCCTCAGCATAATGGAGTCAACACAGGAGGGGTCTTCAGAACAGAACCTGAGTCTAGCCCTGACCTGCCCCCTGAGCAAGGGGAGTGCATTACCCCACAGTCAGAGGACGGGGGCGTGAATGAAGAGAAGGATAGATCTGTGGGAAGAGATGGGCTATGCTCACGCAAGAAGCTGACAGCAAAGGGCTTGCTTTGTTCAATCTGAAATCCTTTTTCACATCCCCGTCCTCCTGGCAACTCATTTAAAAAGTGAGCTTCAGGAAGAATGATTCACTAGCCAGGAACAACAGTTTCCTTTCTGGACTGCGCCAAAGGAAAAGAGGTTTGAAATGGGAGCCACCTCTTCCCCAAGAATATAGGAAGGCACTATATACAGGAGGGATTTTGATGAGGGACAAGTAATGCTAGTTCTACCATATTTTATGGCTTTCTCTTTTCACCCCAGTCACTGATGTTTGCAAGACCCTATGGCCCTTTGAAGCATTTGGCTTCTTCTTTTTGTTTTCTTTTTAAGATTTATTTACTTATTTATTTGAGAGAGTGAGGGCAAGCAAGCATATGCCCACACACACGGGGGGAGGCGCAGGGGACATAAAGAAAATTCACAAGCAGACTCCCCACTGAGCGAGAAGCCTAATTCAGGGTTTGATCCCAGGACCCTGAGATCACTACCTGAGCCAAAACCAAGAGCCAGCCCCTTTAACTGACTGAGCCATCCAGGCGCCCCAAGTACTTCTGGCTTGAGAGCCTTCTTCACAAGGCCTACTTACATACTGGGAATTCAGAGTGCTCACCAAGGAAGTCATTTCCAGAGACAGCCAGCATTTACTGAATGATTGCACAACGATTATCTCCCTTAAGCTTTAAAACAATCTCCCATTTTTTCCAGATAAGTAGCTTGACACTCAGGTGTTACATGTCCTGCTTGAGGCCATCCAACATATAGAAGACAGAGCAGGACGCAGGCTGCCTGTGTGCTCCTTTATCCCCCTGCTCTTCTCCTGCCCATCTCCCTGCCTTGGGAAGAATGCTGGAGACAATGCTCACCCTGTGTTTGGTTTCTGGTGGCTGGTAAATGAGACCCTGCTTTTGTTGCAGCAGCTTTGCTGGCCTGCAAGGTGTGGCTCTAGCTTACAGTCACAGGGATCTTGCAGGCCCTGAGTACTTCCAACAATGGGAGGAGCCTCCCAGGGCCAGGCAAGGCCACAGCAGCAGAGGAAACCACAGTGGAATTACAAGTTGGTTATTACCACAAATCCATGTGACACATCATCTTCGCTGGGCCAGAGTGTGGCTGGGGCACTACAGAAGGAGGTATGAAGGAGTACGGAGAGAAGGTGATGTCCCTGATTCCAACAAAACCAAAGCAAACGGGGCTAAGGGCTACCGGAGTGGGCAGTAACCAGCACCCAAGAATCAAGAAACACAGAGATAACATCTAAGTCTTGTCCCTAACGAATCAGTGGGTTTCCAAACCTTCCCAGACAGAACCTGGTATTTTTAACAAGCCAGAAGGAAAGACAGCTCTTATCCAGTGGTTCCTGATCTTGTCTGCACATTAAAATCACCTGTGCAGCCAGCCCCTAGAGGTTCTGATGAAGATCTGGAGGAGGGCCTGGTATCTGTATTTTTTTGAAAACATTTTTTAAAAAGATCTATTTATTTTAGAGAGAAAGAGTAAGAGACAGCAAGCAGGGGGAGGGGCAGAGGGAGAGAAGCAGACTCCCCACTGAGTGGGGAGCCTGCCATGGGGCTCAATCCCATGACCCTGAGATCATGGTCCAAGCCAAAATCAACAGTCGGACGCCTAACCAACCAAGCCACCCAGGCACTCCTGTATTTTTTTTTTTTTAGAGTGTTGTAGGTGCTTTGCCTGGCACACACTGGCTGGTGACATGTTCTGCCTGGATGTTGGTCCTGCCTTCCAGAGACACCTAAGCAGACACACGTGGTACTTTTTATTGCCTGCATTGCCTTGTGGTTTTCCTAGTCCCACCTGGGGATCACATGAACAAAGATGTTGAACCTTCCCAGACAATAAGCTGGAGGAAACTGATTTTGTCCCAAAGGACACATGAAGACAAGAGGGTGCTTTAAGATAGGTGAAGGCCACATGCAGAGCCCCAGGAAGCTTTCTGCCCTCCCCTCCCAAGATTGGGAAACTGAGGATGCACTCCAGCAGGTGGCAAAGGTGAATTCATGCACTGAGCTGGTCTGCCAGCTGGGGAAGGGAATCCTCTGGAACAGCAGAAAGAATTATCCACGGGTATAGTCAGGTGATAGAATTATAACCAAAAGTACCACAGCAAAAGTCTTCTTTCAGACAAAAACCAAATTCTCTTTAAGAACCAAAGTTGTAGTCAGAGTTTCTTATAAGATGGATGGGCCAAAGATTTTATTTTTTATTTTTTTTATTTTTTTTTAAATTTTTTTATTTATTTATGATAGTCACACACAGAGAGAGAGAGAGAGAGAGAGAGAGAGAGGCAGAGGGAGAAGCAGGCTCCATGCACCGGGAGCCCGACGTGGGATTCGATCCCGGGTCTCCAGGATCGCGCCCTGGGCCAAAGGCAGGCGCTAAACCGCTGCGCCACCCAGGGATCCCAGATTTTATTTTTTAAAATCAGCTTCTCTAACACCAGGAAAAACACGCAAGTAGGATGGATTGCCTCCTGGATATTTTCATGAAGCTGCTAAAACAGGCAGAACTTTAGACTCATGACAAAAGACTCTCTTTGACATGACCTGCTCCCCTCATCCTCCAAACCTAGACCTTAGTTTGTTCAGAGGCCATGGAGGACAAGCACTCTCCCCAATCTCATTATCTTCACAGGAAATGGGAGAGATTGTCAAGGACTGGGGGCGGGGGCGCCCTACACTTTCCCCAACAATGCTCATGAAAGGGCAGAAGGGACCCAAGCTCCGAAACATACACCCAATAAGTTCTGGGGCCGAGGGCAAGAGAGAGAGAAACAGTAAAACACTGCTCTTCCTTACTCTGGTTTTTCTCTGCTCTGGACATTATGGGTAAGTGGGTACCAAACTTTTTTTTTTTAAATTTTTATTTAATTATGATAGTCACACACAGAGAGAGAGAGAGAGAGGCAGAGATACAGGCAGAGGGAGAAGCAGGCTCCATGCACCGGGAGCCCGACGTGGGATTCGATCCCGGGTCTCCAGGATCGCGCCCTGGGCCAAAGGCAGGCGCCAAACCGCTGCGCCACCCAGGGATCCCTTTTTTTTTTTTTTAATCAGAATCACCCAGGGCATTTAGAAAAATAACCCTGGCCAACTGAATTAAAATCTCTAGAAGTGGAGTCCAAAAAATGTTAAGCAACCCCCCCACCCCCCCACCCCCACCCCCCGCCCACTGATTCTAGGCAGCAGATTCAAGTACAAGAGCTACAACTGAAAAAGGAAGGAATGCAAGAGACAGTAAG